AAATTATTGGGGGCTGCAGCCCCCTCCCCCCCTCCCTCCCCCATTGTGGTAGACTATTTCGTGCAAGACGTTTTGCTAACCTGGTAAACTATTTTTTCAAGACGTCTTGCTAACTTGGCAGACTATTTCCAAAATGGTAGAACAAGATTAAAGCTAATATATAAATTAATTTTCATATTGAAAGGTGGTGGGTATGCAGAATTTGTGTCTGTTAATGAAGCATTAGTTATGCCAGTTCCGGCAAATCTTGCTCTCTCGGATGCCGCTGCCATTCCAGAGGTGTGGCTCACTGCTTACCAACTGCTACATCTATTAGCTGGTGTCAAGTCGCGTGAGTGTGTGCTGGTGCACGCGGCAGGGAGTGGAGTGGGAACTGCAGCGATACAGCTGGCCAAACTTGCAGGTGCTAGGGCATTAGCCACTGCAGGATCACAGGAAAAATTAGACATGGCAGAAAAGATGGGAGCAGAGGGAACTGCCAACTACAAGAACGAGGATTTCTCGGAGATGGTGCTTAAGAAAACAAATGGTAATTTTTCTACCATATACATGTAAACGTTGGAAACGTCGTGTCGGCGTGCGCATTTCTATCCTGAGCTTACTGTACATATTAACAATAATATGTACTGTAAAATTAAGCTTAACTCTAATAACTAAAATTGAATGTTTATAAATATTATGTAATTGAGTTTAAGATTGCATACTTGATAGTAATATAGGGCGTAAAAAAAAAATACCTGTGGTTCCGGTTCCCGACCGACCCTATTTTTTTCTGCCGACCCTATTATTTTTTCAACGCGATTGACCGTGCGACCCTATTTTCTCCAGGTGGTTGCGGGCTGCTCGTACAGCGTGCCAAAATGGCGTCTGTTGTCACACTAATTATTGAACCAAATTGCCTAAATTCGTCCATAGGAAATACGCATCTCTAGTTAATATTGATGTTGGGACTCTACTGCAAATCGCCCAGCAAAAAACTGCCAAAACCATGAAAAAAATATTCAAAAAAAAAACTTATTTCCGACCTATACCGACCCTAATTTTTTCACGATATGAAACCGGAACCACAGGTATTTTTTTACGCCTAGTGTAAACAGTATAACCGCGTTTCTGTTTTTCTTCAAATGTAGGCGCTGGAGCTAATATTATTCTGGATTGCGTTGGAAGTTCGTTTGTTGATAAAAATCTTGCAAGTATTGCTACAGACGGACGATGGATATTGTACGGCTTACTTGGTGGTGCAAATGTTGAAGGACGATTTCTTGGTGCCTTACTTCGGAAAAGGATATCGCTCATCGCAACTACATTAAGAAGTAGATCGCTTGAAGTAAGTAAATCAGACCAAGGTACCAAAACCACCAGAAAATTGAGATGGATAGGGGTTCCTGAAAGATACAAGTAAAACTTCGACGTTTCGAGCGAAAGCCCTTTGTCGGGAAGCTTAAGTATAGCATGGTTAAATTATCATTTATCTGATAACGTCTGAGCAAGCGCCTTTCACATCTGAGATCGCGTGGGTTCGATTCTCGCTACGGACTCATGATGTGAAAAGAGTCATTCAACGCTCTGCCGAAAATCGTGGGTTTTCTCCGGCCCCTCCGGTTTCCTCCCACTGGGAAAGCTGTCAGGGTGGATTAGGCCAAACATATAGTTAGGAAAGTAATATCGCGATTGTTCTAAAGATAATTAGTCTAGACTTAGTTGGCAATACGTAAGCGTAATACTGGATGTAATCGGTCACTGAAAAGCCACGTTGGGGAGTGAGCTGAATAATATATGTGTGTATGTATGTATCTGATTGAGGTTTTTTGTCACCTGTTTCCTTTTATATTCACTAGTATAAAAGCACATGTACATGTATTTTCCTGACCCATAATCATGCTATACTAACTTCCAAACTATAAGGATCTCGCTCGAAACGTCGACGTTTTACAGTATACTCGTATTTTTCTATATCCATCTCAATTTTCAAGGATAATATTGACTGCATTAATTATTAGTGCTTTATCTGTAATATATAGCTGAAACTAAAAGGCACTCGGAGACTGCATGCCTCCACCAGCGAATTAAGTTATGTAGTCATGCAAAGCTTTTATCTAAATTACGATGGTATGGAATAGAAGGTCCCTTGCTACAGTGGTTTGACTGGTTTCATTAATATCTAACTGAAAGAAAGTAAAGAGTAGTTATAAACGGTAAACATTCTGCATGGGCGGAAGTAAGATTTGTATTTGTACACTTGTTGCATATAATATATTTTGTTCATTAATTAAATTAATTCTTCCACGGACAACAATTACCAAAGAAATTGCGTTTAACGCACACAATCCGTCATTGCATGCATATTTCACGGGAAAAAATACTGGCAATCCACGTCTCACGAAAATACCCCATATACCACCCTCACATTTAATATAATAGGAGCAAGGGGAGAAATTAAATCTAGTCTTATATTCTTTGCACAAAGATTGAAAGCTCAAATAAATAAGCCTGGTGTTTCCACAAAACAAAACCATTCCACATTTCTACAAGCAGAAAGGTATGATCGAATAAAATTAGATATTATGGTTAATTCTTTCACCATTTAGTACAAGAAGCATTTGGTAGAAGCATTCAGTCAACATGCCTTACCAAGTTTTCACACAGAGACCCTTAAACCAGTAGTCGACACGATTTTCAAGATAGCAGACATTCAACAGGCTCATTTGATGATGGAAAGTAATAAAAACATTGGGAAAATTGTTGTTGAAGTAAGAAAAGAAAATGTAAAAGATGAACTTTAAAGATTACTACTTAACTGTACTACTTGTACTGCAATGTAGTCGTAGACACACAGTCAATCAACAGTGCTGTACTTGAATCGTTTAAAGTACTTATGTAACGAAATTTCACACCATTATTTTAAAATTGCATTGTTAAAAAAGTTCAAAATTAGCTTACATCGTTCTTTAGATGTCAAACATTTTTGAGATGCAACTTAACCTCGAGCACCATGACGTCGCATTGCATAATGACTTTCTGAAAAAAATTCAAGATCTTGAGATGTTGTATACCGAAACAATTATCTATAAGTATAGGTAATAGTATGGTTTCGAGTGCAATTTGAGAAAAACATGCACGAGTGAGTTTATCAAAGACGATCAAAATTGCACGAGTCCGAATGACGAGTGCAGGGCCGGAACTACGGGGGGTGCTTACCCAGGCTACAAAGGGTGCCCAATTTGCGGGGAACGCTGGGATTGCGGAACGTGTTAAATATTAAGGAATTTTCTGGAAAATTGAGGTCGAAAAAGGTTTGAAAAACTAAATTTAAGGCCCCATTATGTAAAACTAGTGTTCGAAAAATCTTTTGGGACGTTTAGTTTTCGTCGACATCCCT